TTATTTGGGCAATAATATGGTTCCGTCAGTGTATACGTCATACCTGACGGATAAACTAGTTATCTGGCATGATGTGACAGATAACAAGAATTAATTCATCACTTTTGTAACAATTATGAATCGATAATAACACTGAACTACTAATTTTTTCTTTATATTTAAGCTTAATCAATACTTGTCATTTGATGTGACAGTTTTATTCATTAATAACAGGTTAAAAATTTCCATTTTGTTCATTAATAGCAGGTTGAAAATTTCCATTGTTTACATTCTGCAAAATTTCAAGTTGTTAATTATTAAGTAATGGATGTTCATTGTTTTCATTAGCACCGTATTCAACATCAAGAAATGGAAGAAAATTTTGGAAATCTATATTTATAGGTAAAATCACTTCTTCATTCCATGGAAAATAAGCATTGAATAATTCGATATTTTGGTTTTGTAATTTAACCTTAGCCGAATCAGTCAACTGAAAATGTGTATGTTTATGTTCATTAACTTTAGCCAATGTAAACCAATAAATAGCTTTATTTATATTTTTTTCAACACCTATTCCATTTTTATAATTTAAGCCTATTTAAAACTGACTATAGTGGTTTCCAGCTTTTGCAGATTTTAAAAACCAGCAAAAAGCATGTTTCATATTTTTTAAGGTACCTTTGCCAAACGTATACATGTTACCAAGAGTAAATTGACTTTTATGATTTCCTTCTTTGGCCAACTTCAAATACCATTTAAATGCTTTAACTTCATTCGTAATTGTGCCCAAACCATATTTATAGCATTTTGCTAATTTAAATATAGATTTGGAATTTCCTTTTTTTGCAGATTTTAGATACCATTTAAAAGCTTCTACTTCATTTTTAGCTATACCAATACCATTTGCATAGAATTTTGCTAATAAATATTGTGCATCAATATTTCCGTCTGTTGCTGATATTAAATACAATTTAAAAGCTTCCTTTGTGTTTTTAGTTGTACCGATGCCACAACTATAGCATTTTGCTAGTCTGTATATGGCATTATTATTCTCATTTTTAGCTTATTCCATATATAATTCAAATGCTTTGCTTTCATTTTTAATTGTGCTGATACCATATTCATAATATTTTTCTAATTCATAATATTTTGCTAATTCATACTGAGCATAAGAATTTCCATTAGTTGCAGATTTTGAATAATATTCGAATGACTTTATATAATCTTTATTATTTTGATAATATTTCCCAATAGCAAATTGTCCCATTGAATTTCCTCTTTTAGCTGACCCTAAAAACCACTCAAATGATTTTATTTCATTACTTAAATAACAAGATCCAACATAATATTTACCAATTACTGATCCAATCTCAGCTGCTTCTAAAAATAATTTAAATGAAATACTTTTATCCATTGCAACGGCTCTTCTATTTGAATACAGCAATCCAAGTAATATTTTCCCAATAATATAATTATTTACCTTAAAACTATTCATTAATGATAAATCATCTAAAGGATTTGATATAATATCATTTTTATAAGATTGATTATACATCCATAATGCTTTATGATAATCAATTTCAGTTCCTATTCCATATTCATAAAAATAGCCTATCATGCTAGAACTATAATCTTGATCATCTAATTGATTAAATATTATAATAGGACGTATTTG